AGGGTGAAGTACCCTCCAGTGGCGGCGTTCAAGGAGGAAAAAGCCGCCGACCCGCCGGGATTCGAACCCGATATCCTTGACATTACAAACCGATGCGCTACCAACTGCGCCACAGGCGACCTGACGCAAAAAGACTGAAATGTCGGTGTATATCAGATTAAAACGAAGAACTGACGGCGGACTCAATACAGAAAGTAAAAAGGCTTATCTTAGACAATTGACATGAATCCGCCTATATTGTTTTAAATATTAAGGAATAGTTTGGACACATATTTCATTTGCATCGGGAAAGATTTATTTATCCAGGCTTATTTTTACCAATAAAATGTGCTAAGAACGGTCTGCAAACTTCACCACAATGCGCCAGATTCGCGGACTGCAGAATATTCTGCTGAGCGTTCCAGCGAAATATTCTGCCGGCCAAGACGTGACGTCATCCAAACAATGATTCAAATGTCCCAAGCCCGTTAAGTACCCTCCTAACTCACAGAACGTAGCCCCACAGCTGTTACAGTTAAGATTACAATTGCCTTGCACATCTCCAGCCATGACACATGCGTGATCAAGGCAACCTGCGTATAGCATGTCACCTACCTTGGCGCAGCGAGTTACACGATGCAAAACCTGCGTCATGCGCTTACTCCGTGGGCGCGAGTAACGCCATGCGGCCACAACCCGCTGCGGACGAGTGATTGACCCCGCCAGAGGAGGTTTCATGTATCCGCGCATGACGGGTTGCTGTTTTACCCGAGTATAGCGGGCGTTGACACCCGTGAAGCGGGTGAAAGCTACGATGATAACGGGATGCTCTGCGAAACGCGGGAAGCTAAACGGGTAGTCAGCCTACCCGGCAGCAAAAACTCGCGCAGAGCGGGTAATTTCTTCAAAATACCCGCGATACTCGGGCCAACTCGCAATCCGCGGGTTGAATTGTTTTCAGTGCTTGCTCTTAACCTTGCTCTTCCAGACCATGAGCACACTTTTTATTAACTATAAATGGAAGTTTGTCATGTTTCTAAAAAATGCTCATCTCACCTTAATAAAAAAAATCCGTCCCTATCAAATAAGTACCGGAAGCACAAATCTCACCGGAAGTCTGAGTCGAACTATAAGCGAAAATGCCACAACTTCCCTGTGGCCACCGCCATTCTGTCTGAACTAGACTTTTTGTTTCTCCAAACTATATGGTAACATAACCCGCGCCCCGCTGGGCTATTCAGCCATACGCGCCCTGCTGGGGGGGGGCAGATTCTGCCCCCCCTGTCTAACTTCCGAACCGATGGTCGTAGAAAGACGGGGAAAACGGCAATCGAAAGCTCTCAACAAGGCGGATCTTAAGAGCCCAAATTTTTTTGCTTAAGTAGGTCAGAGGTCAGGTCAAGGTCAGGTCAAGGGTACAAAATGCAAGTTTCTACAGTATCGGCCTTGCACCGTAGTTGCCGAAGAATGGACTGAGACTGATTGCCCAAAACGTGTTCTTAGACTACCAAGACAATATTCGTTGCATACAATGTCATTCAAAGGTCAAGGTCAAGGTCAGGTCAGGTCAGGTCAGGTCACCAAAAACAAAATATAGTAAAGGGCATGTGCGACACATGTTTTATGGGTCATTTTACTCATAGAATTCAATAGGCACACTCAATAAGTGATATGGACCACCTCTGGATGAATTTCAGGTCGAGGTCAGGTCAAGGTCAGGTCAAGTGAGGTCAAATTTTGAAGTTGGTTTTTAAGGCCTAAAAAGGTGTCTATCTGATGCAGTTTTTCACGGCGAATCGAATGGTGCTATTTTTGTTTCCGTACGAGGTCTAGAACTTCCAAAAAAATCATTTTTCAAAATTTTTGTGTGTCGTGACGTCATAAAATTTTGAATAACTCCCACATTTTTGAACCGATTCTTCTCAAAATTGGTATGTAGGTGCACATAGACCACTTCTCTGACATATATTCCGGTTTTTTCGATACACTCAAAATTTTGGATTTTATAATTATTTTCCCAAAAAAGTCAGTTTTTTGAAACAATTTGGGCCAAAATCCAAAATTTTCAAAAAACCGAGATAGCCATTTGATAGACAAAGTGGAATCACGCATAACCTTTTTTGTTACGTCTTGATTCCTTTAAAAATGAAGATGTTAGCGGCGTTTGAAATTTTGCCGTTTTTGAGGCGAAAATGGCGAACATGACGTCACTAAAACGTCAATTTCTCAAAAATTTTCCGACGGATTTCGCTCAAATTTTCAGGGTACGTGTCAAATTGATGTATGATAAGGTACCGAAAGTTTGACGTTGCTGGCGTAACGCGTTTAGAAGTTATTGGCGAAAAACGGGAGGGGGGGCAGATTCTGCCCCCCCCCAGCGGGGCGCGGGCTAACGTCAATATGACATAACAATACACATTTATTGGACATGCGTCACACTCACGAATGCGTGCCCCTCGGTATTACCGTCATGAAAGTTGCCCGAATCGGCGCTTAAGAACTTTGCAATTTAAAAATTTAGACCTCGCCCGTGGACGGCATTTCGCCATCCTTTCCAGTGAGGGGGGGGGGGGTACGACCCCTTCTGCCGTTTCGAAACGCGTCGTCGTAGAGCTTAGCGGAAAAACAGCGTATTGCTCTCGACGAGAGCTCGCGATTGCGCATATTACTTTTGACCACAGGTCAATATTTGACCTAGGTTTGGCAGGTTAAAGATCAAATTTCGGGAAAATCGGCATTTTTTAACTTTGCGCGCCTGTAGCGTCGCCGCTATGGCAGATATCGTCATGGAATTTTCACCATCGCATTTCTGGATGAATTTAGTGCATTTTGGTGTATAGTTTGTCACATTTTACGCGATAACTTCCGGGGCAGAGCGCCCGGAAGCCGGCGGGGTCGCGTTCGCGCCCCGGGGGGTCGAAAATGCCGTCTTACAGTTGGGGTCGGAAATGTGATCTAACCTGTCGGCGACTTCTCCTTGACCCTGAGACGCTCAATAAACCAAGTGCCCGAGCTTTATTTGGCCGTCAGATTCGAATTCAGGGCCAAAAATTACCGCCGGAAAGTCAAACTTCAAGAGGTCACCAGAGGTCACTGACCTGAACTAGACCTGACCTGACCTTGACCCTACATAGGTCAATGGAGGGTGTATCATTGCCATGTCAGTCACTTTTGACCCAAACAATGCCAAAGTGTAACCGATATCATCGTTAAAAGCACGAAAAACTACGATTTCGTGCAAAATCGGCCTGACCTTGTTACCTTTGTGACGTCATAGTTCTGTTACCTGACCTGACCCGGTCATTTTTTCGCCAAAAGCTGCGCAAAGGATGGTCCATAAGGTAGCCGGAAAGCTGGCGGCACTACGTGCCGCCTTTTTTCGCTATTCGTGAAAAACCTCAGGAGGGTGCGACCCTTTCCACGGGCGACAATCAAAATAAATATCACATAGTGCACCAATCTTCCTTTTCATCTTTTGCACAACCGTTTTAGGAATCCTCAATGCAAAAGATGTCGAAGCCGGAACCGTAGTCGGTCGGAGTGAACAGTTTTATTAGTAGTCGGAGTCATTCAAAATTTGTTGAAGCCCTGGGTGCTGATAAAACTCTCGCTGTCAATGAATTAGAGTTGACTAATTCATTGTTAGAGGAAATGACTGCAATAGAGGAATGACTGCATGCTAGTAGCAGCTACGTCTAAAAACGAAGCTTAACAGTTTTTCAAATAATAAAACAAGACATGCCAGGAGTGTCAGCTATATATTTCTTCAAGTGAAGTCCTGGGGTTTGTCGGATGAAAAGTTGAGTAATCAAGTCTATTCTCACTGCACATAATCCAGCGATGCTATATACAAGTGCTGCTGATCATAGCACTCCTAGCTCGCACTGATAAATGAGACGTTTCAAGCCCCCTGAATATCACATCACGAAAAAAAATCAGGCATCAGCCTCTTGTTACTGAGTCACATTTGTACTAATAGGGTAAGGTGCCTAATTAGCGACCCCCTTAATTTGACCCGTCATTGCTCACGCCCTGTGGGTGCCACTGTATTACTGGCTTGATTTTCGGAGAGACCGTTCATTTTTCTATTAAAATATAGTCATTTTCTGCACCAATATTCACTAACTTATTTGTAGTGAGCATTTTGGCAAACCATTGCAAAAAACGCTAATAGGAAACTCTTCCCGATTAGCGACCGGGGAGGGTCGCTAATAAGTCTATGGGTTTCCCCATATTAAAAATGGCAAAAAATGCGACGCCTGAAAAGATGAAATATGATCTCAAAAAGGTAACCTATACGCAAAGCACTCAATCACTCGAACAGGAACGTTTATCCAACACATTTACGGAAGTAAAAACTGATCACGTGATGCACCGAAAGGCGAAAAGAAGGCGGAAACCCGAATTTTGCGGGCTATCTCGTATGATATTCGAGGTCCGCGCTGAATTCGGCACCCCTGCAGTCGGTGACGACATTTGGCATCCCCTACCACACATTGCAAGCTTCAGCAACACCTCATTTTCATTTCTCTCTTTTCCCCTTTCTTTCCCTTCTTGAGCTATTTGCGACCATGCCAGGCGCAAATAGGAAATATGAGTTGCGACACATTTTTAACCGCCATGCTGTGCACAGTTGAGCGATTCGCTATGGGAAAACGGCATTCAATTGAAGAAGGAACGTCGATTCAGGATAAAAAAGGTGCATCATCCTAATGTGCATCGCTTTTCATCAGAGAGGGCCCAAACACACACGTTTTGGATAAGAAACTCGTCATTTTTATTTAAACTCACCTGAAACGTCCCACCAGAAACATCGACGACCGGAAAAAATTTAATTTGATAACCAAAGTATGGCTGACCTTTTGACGACATTTTTACCCCGTTTTCTCCTGCCATTTTTTCTGTAGGGAGGTAGGTCGCAAATCGGAAAGGGTCGCTAATTAGGCACCTTACCCTATATATCTTGCACACTAATCACATGTAGGTAACATAAGTAAAATCTATAAACAAAACACTGTTCTTTAACATAAGATGACAAAAAAAAAAAAAACAGAACGGTTTAGTAGGAGGTGTGGCCGACCGGCGTTGACCGGTCTTGCATCACCGGTCACCGCCGCCCGCTGCCTCGGAGCACTGCTCCAGCCGCGCTGCCTCATCGAGGCCACCAGGCTCCGGAAGTAGCCGGACCGGCTGGCGCAGCTCCTCCTCCAGTCATGAACCATTAGAGACCACACATTTTCGATAGGGTTCAGGTCTGGGCTCATTGAGGGCCAGGGGATGGCACGAACCTGCGAACAAAACCATGTTTGTTACTCAATACTCACTGTAGCGTGATATAGGTTGACACATCGGTCATGACTATGAAGCTGTATGGTGCAACGAATAACACCTATATGTTGGAAAGTGTTTGATCATTACTGAGCAATTTTGTAAGGCATCTTAAGAACTTTTTAAATAATTGTTGAAGTTATCTCAATAAGTTTATAACAGGCGGGGACGAGGCGACCAGGGCCGGGGCAAGGCGGCCTCCCGCATATAGCCGTAGGCCTCGCCTCCTCTAATTGGGATGCATTGCTGTTGGGGTGAAAATGAATAAACAGATAAATAAATAAACAGCATCTCAAGATTTTTTTTTTTTAATAATGCCATCAGGTCACCGGTCACCTAGCTAAACCATACCACAACTTAAGGGCTAAGGCCGCCCCACACTGGACCTCGCATGCGGGTTTTGAGTTTGCGGGCATAATACTAACTCATAGAGTAATTAGACCGTACCCTCATGGTCACTTCATGAATGCTGTGAAGCCGGTACACCTTCAGAAAACTACATATAGTCGCAATACCAGCATGAACGAACCAAAATTCGACTCCAACGAAAACCCGCAAACCTCGTAGAGCTTGCAGACCTCGCAGCGAGGAAAATCGAAAGTTGACTCAAAATCAACTTTTGGAGTGCGACGCAAGGTAGCTCGGAAGCTAAAAACATGCAGACTCGCTTGTTAGATAGTAGTGTGGGTCGCTCAGCTAGATTGTATTATTTGATTTTGAAGAAACCCGAAAACCCAAAAACTCGCAACCCGCATGCGAGGTCCAGTGTGGGGCAGCCTTTAGAGTTAGCAGCCATGATAGGTTTATGATGCCACTTACTGAGTCTGCGTGGTCTTCGAACCAATGCTTGACTGCCCTCGCTGTGTGGATAGGGGCGTTGTCTTGCATTAGAGTCCAGGGTCGCTCCTCGTCGGGGCGCATTTCCTCCACGGAAGGCAAAAACACCTGCCGGGGTAGTGAAGACATATTTAACAACAATGAAAAAATGCACATGTTCACAAGGGTATACAGTCAACTCAACCTGTGACAACCTAACCAACGTGGCTTGTGACAATAGAGCCAATGCATTTAGCACACTGGTTGAGTTGTCACTGATTGTCACTGGTTGTCACTGGTTGTCACTGGTTGAAATGTCGCTGGTTGAGTTGTCACTGGTTGAGTTGTTACTGGTTGAGTTGTCACTGGTTGAGTTGTCACTGGTTCAGAAGTCACTGGTTCAGAAGTCACTGGTTGAGTTGTCACTGGTTCAGATGTCACTGGTTGAGTAGTTGTCGCTGGTTTGACCCGCTTGAAATGTCACTGGTAGAATTGACATGGAACCGTTTGCAAGAGTGCGGGGAAGACGGCGTGCTGGGCAAAAACGAGATCTACCTGAATATGACTTGTGCAATCGAACGTTTACTGGCATTTGACCTGTTACACAAAGACCATAAAACGTTTATCTTAGGTTTTGTCTCTTAGACACCCAGAGGGCAGGAAACCGCCAACCATTGTTCAGTTGGTTCGATTTTTTTATGTGCTCTGATTTTGTCTCACAAACTTTACAAGCATTCAACATGAACATAAAATGTTTGAGCTGTGGCTCTTGCGACATTAAGCGAGATCCGAAGAAAAAATACTCGCTATTATTATCAATCCTATCTTGAAGTAAATAGTTGACACCTTTCTAATTTGAAAATGTTTGAACAAGACCTGTGGTCGAAATAAATATTACATTCTGTCAAGTAAAGTATATATTTGTACAGCATTAGTTTTGGTAATTATCGAGGAAAAAAGGTCATGTTTTTACATTTTCTATTATTTATAAACATATTCCTCGTACAAGCACTAACCTCATTAAATAGTTTGACACGTTTAATCAATTAGACATGCTGTTTAATCGACATATTATCATTATATGCTGGCCCGATTAGTCATTATGGCCCGATATTATCATTATGCTGGCCCGATTAGTCATCTGATACTACACGCTCGTCTTGACCTAGAAATGCAGAGACAACAGCAACAAATAATAAAAGAAAAGTACGAACCTCCACCATGCGCCTGTCTTCCTCCTCCGTCGTCTTCCGTTTTCTTCCACACTTATCATAGCGCGCTTTCAAACCCCTTTCCCCTTCCTGCTCATAACGGTGTTTCCACCGTCTGGCAGTAGTTAGAGCTACACCGAGAATCTCTACCGCCTGCTTGACAGAGTGACATTGATCGAAAAGCAAGATGAGCCTGCCCTTGTTAAGATCACTGAGGTGTGCCATCACGCTCACGTTGACGTCTAGCCGCACACACTCCACGCGGGCTGCGGCCGCATACTGCGGCTCTCCTTCCCCGGCTTTCCGCCCCACTCGGAACAGAAACAGCCAGGGCCCTGTTTCACCGGTGATAGCAGCACGCTGCTATCACGTTTCGCGAGCTGACGTCATGTCATGACGCCATACTGTTGACGTGATGGGCAGTTCCGGCGCACGATTGCCGCAACCTTGGCCGCGGCATTAAGTGACGTATGAGCCTTTAAAAGTAAGAGTTTATGCAGTCATGATAGTATATTTATTTTCAATATATATTTTTTTAATATGATGTATTTAAAAAAAAGTTGGTTTTAAGGAAAATTTGGACGTAAACTTCGAACATTTAGTTGATGACGTAAAACAATATTGCGGCAATCGTGCGCCAGAATTATCCCTTACGTCAGCAGTATGACGTCATCACATTACGTCAGCTCGCGCAATTTGATAGTGGCGTGCTGCTATCACCGGTGAAACAGGGCCCGGGTCATGTCATTCCGTGACCCTCAAAGGATACTGTGCCGCATCACACTAATCGGTACACTCTCTGACACACCAGGCCTGCCCCGCCGTGGCCCAGCCCCGGTCCCGGTATGAGCGCGGATTCTGCGCTCAATAGTACCTAAATCTGAGACAGTGTTAACCTTCCAGGCGGTGGGGGGGGGCATTTTTTTGCCCCCTTTAGCTTTTTCGATATAGGTATCTCCAGAACCGCTGCGCCGATCGTCACCAAACATTCAGTACCCTCCCGTGAATACTCAAATAGCTATTGCACATTGTGGCCAAAAAAAAATCCAAAGGCTATGATAGGTTGGCCGCTAATGACGTCGGAGTGACGTCATTTCTGGCTTCTGCCATTTTCGACACAAAAAAAAGTTTTTCGCGGGAAGTCAGCTGCGCGCCGATCAGCTGACTGGCGGCCTTCTGCAGGCGCCACGCAACGGCGGCCGGCGCGGCGGCGGCAGTGCAGCCGGAGGTATCGCCGGAGGTATCGCCGCACAGCCGGAAGTATCGTCGCCAGCCAACTCCAGCAGCAGCCCGGAGACGGAATTCGACATCATGACGACCGAAGGCTTTCCAAGTAAGGCTCACACAACTCTTGTCACTGCGAATGGAGTGCCGGTGACATTTTTAATCGACTCCGGTGCTGAATGTGACGTCATTACACGTGCTGACTATGTGCGCCGTGCGGCTGACGGGTGACGGGCAGGGTGAGCGGCTGAGGCCGTGCTCGACGGCACTCCGCATGTATGACGGGGGACCCGTGTATGTACACGGATGGAAAAGTGAATCTTGATCTTAGTATCTAGATCTTAGTATCTATATCTTCTATCTAGATCTTAGTATCTAGATCTTAGTATCTTGACGGGGCACAACTGTACCTACGCTACAATGTAAAGTGGTAAAAGCGGCTATCGCGCCGATCCTTAGTCTAAAGAGTTAAAGACATCGCTTCGTCTAGGGCTGATCGACGTCAAAGACTGTGACTCGCTGGACTTTGTATACCAGAGTAGGTACCGCTGATAGGAATCTGACCAATGTCACGCCCACACCGCCGTGCCCACCTGACCTGACCCTCTGGCCCCACGCTCGTCAGCTGCATCCGCGTCCCCGAATGCTCAGCCTCGAGACGGGCGGTCCCACATCATCGAACAGCATCGGGACGTGCTCGACAAAAAGAGGGTGGGCCTGATTGTGGACGATTATTTTTTTTTTTTTATTCAGGCCTCCCTCCAACGGGCACTTGTGGCCCATTTACAGGAGGGCTCCTCCTCCTCCTGGCCCTTCTTCCCCCACCCCCCCGGCTACGGCTGAAGTGGGAGCCTACCCCACACCTGGTGACACAGCCGGGGACGACGCCCGCGGAACGGGCGGAACCGGGAATCGAACCCGAATCCGGCACCGCCCGCACCGCGCGCGGGTCGACGCCTTAACCGACTGCGCCACCAGGGCCGCAATGATATGATATCATCACTCATCAATGATCAATCAATGATTATGATATCATCACAGACCCAACAGTCGTCCCCGTCGTAGAACCACCCCGTCGGGTCCGAGTCCATGTCAGGGATAAGCTAAAAAAGAAACTAGACGAGCTAGAAGCCCAGGGTGTGAATGTGATATCTCCCATTGTAGAACCGACCGTGTGGGTATCGCACCCGGTGATAGTCGACAAACCCTCAGGTGACATCAGATTGTGTATCGACCCGCGACATCTAAACAAAACAGTGCTCCGTGAGCATTACCCGACCGTCGACGAGGTCACTGCGCGGATGAGTGACGCTAAGGTTTACAGTGTGTTGGACGCGGCAAAGGCATTCTGGCAGATCGGACTAAGCGAGGCCTCCGCGCGGCTGTGCTGTTTCCATACGCCATTCGGAAGGTATATTTGGAACCGACTACCATATGGTGTCAAGTCCAGCCCCGAAACCTGGCAGCGAACGATCCATGACCTCGTCAGCGGCCTAGCTGCGGTCGAGGTCATCGCTGACGATATCGTCATCGTCGGCAGAGGGGAGTCGATCGTAGAGGCGGAGCGAGACCACGATGAAAATTTGCACGCGTTTCTCGAGCGTGCACGTGCACGCAATCTCGTACTAAATCCCGACAAGTTTGGGTACAAAGTGCCGGAGATCCAACGGAGATCAGATGGGTGGGGCACGCTCTGACGCCACACGGGGGGATGCAGCCAAACCCAACCAAAGTAACGGCAGTGAACGAGTTTCCCGTTCCCACGGATGTAGCCAGTCTGAAAAAAGATTTTTGGGTATGGTGAGCTTCCTTTCTCGGTACATCCCGAATGTGTCACATGTAGCGGCCCCGCTCCGAGCTCTGACACAGGACCGTAATGCATGGGAGTGGTCAAGGGCGGATCCAGCCGGCCGTCTTGGGGGGGGGGGGGCAACCGGTTGGGGACTAGCCAAACCTAGGGTACCCCCAAATCTAGTTTTCTCACCGGTTTTAGGCCACTTATTTTTCAGGGGTCGAACAGACCCCCCTCGATTTTTCCTGATTAACTCGCGTAAAAACAGGCTAATCGCGACGAAACTTTCAGTACCCTCGAGGTTATCCATTCTACATCTACCCTTAAAATTTAATTACCCTGACCCAAGTGACCTTTGACCTGTAACGTATTTCTCGAGACCATGTTTGGCCGGAATCGCGATTCGGCGTATGTTGGCACGCATTAGCCGCGCGTTTGCTGTCTTTTCGTGGTTTCAAGCGTTCAAATATGTGATATGATGTTGGTCCCATGCATTTGGATGGGTGTCAAGGTTACCTGAAGGTCATGTCAGGTCATTGATTTTTGATGACCTCAGTTCACTTTTTCGAGTTGTACATGTTTCTAGGCTAGTTTTTGGAGCTGAAATTGAATTTAGCAACCATTTGGACATTTACGAAGTACTTTTGCTGCCTTCGTAACATGTTGCAAGGCTGTCAGAGGTGGTTGGCACGTATTACGAATACCCGGCAGGACCACTGGTTGACCTGACCCGACCTGCCCTAAATGCATGAAGACATCTTCTGGGATCAAAACTAACACGATATTCGATCAGCACCCCGAAAAAGCTCAGCCACACTTACGACGTTGTAACAGGTCCCAATTTTCCCGCTTTTTGGGTCAATGACCTGACCTGGAAGGTCAACCAATGACCTAGAACCTTAACCCTATTCCGGGCGGGCTCTGAAAGGTTCGATTCTGTGGGGGCCTTTTCGGTCCCCCTTCAGATCTCAAAAATTACACATCGCAGCGACAAACGGCAAACGGCGATTGATAGGTCGTTTAACCCTCGCCCGCACATGGGGGGGGGTTGCCACCCCCCCCAGGCAGTCTTTCTGCTCTGCACTCAACATTTTTAGAGCTAGAAGGCTGATTTTTCGTATAGCTGCTCGTCTATTCTCTCTTGATGTCCACTGAAAATTTCAAGTTTCTGTGATTTTTGGTTTCGGAGATATGACCTTGTTTTTCAGGTCATGTCATGACCCAAATGGCCAATTCTCAACATCTTGCGTTGGCCATGGGCCTTGTGAGCTTTTGACACCCTGATTTCGGCCTTTTTTGCCAGTCTTACCTCCCACCTATCATGGAACATGTTGTTCGACGATGTACAGGGGTCAAGGTCAGGGTCAAGGTCAACCTAGGTCATCTAAGATAATTGCGTTTTAGGCAAGCTGAATTTACTTTTTGTGAAGTTTTTTTGACTGCATTTTTGGTAAAAGCTTCTCAGATCATGATTTCATGTGATATGAACCCAAAAACAATCGGTGCACACATCAGTATACACACAGACACACACAGACATACAAACACATATAATTGACCTTGACCTAACTTGACCTGAAATGACCTCAGCAGCTAAATTCTGGTCGGATAGTGTGACAAAGAGGTTCTAGCTGGCTTGGCACCAGAAAACAGCATCGTCTTCGGTATTTGATAAGCAGCGCACTTGATATCCAACGGTGACCCAAAACAGCAACATTGTTTAGTTTGACCTGACCTGGAAGGTCAATGACTAACCCGAGAAGGTAAAACTGGGTATCATTGGATTCGTCTCTTCACAAAGAATCTTTTTGGTCTTTACTGCTAAGCTCTATCTCCAACAGGAACGAAATGGCGCGGGGAGGGGGGTTGGCAACCACCCCCCCCCCCCCATTTGCGTTCTAGGATGGGAAAATGGCATGTGCGGGCGAGGGTTAAAGATCTACATTTTTGCATAAAATATTTTCAGGTCAGGTCAATATTGAGATCACCAGAGGTCATCAACGATGAAATGTTTTGGAATTAGTTAAACATATAACTTTTAAACTAAGACACATAGAGACATAAAATTAATACATTTTTTGTTGCTCTCGTCGAGGCGATGCGAAATAAGTATGCAATGACCTTCACAGGTCAATTTGACCCGAGGTCAAGGTCAGGTCATTCATCAATGAGGTTGTGGGGTATGGTCATGCTGCATACCAAACGACGCGCCTAGACGAGGCGAGCAGTTTGGTACCACTTACAAGTCTTAAGCACCATCATGTCGTGATT